AGAACCCAGGAGTCCATGATCTTGACCCTATGCCCCAGGCCCCCAACAAGCTTTTTCGGCAAACCCTGTCTCCTGGCTTCTGCTGAGAGGCAGCCACAAGTGCACCACGACAACCAGGTACAGGAGCATTTCGCGCCGCGTGGATGGGAGCGGTATGGAAGCGAAGGACGCTGTAGCCATCGAAATGCAGAAATGGAAGCCGGATGAAGCCGTCAAGACATGTCAAGTCAACATGCCAGTCAAGTATATAGGTTTTTGCGATGACACGAGAGCAAGAAGATCGAACCTTAAAAGAATTCGCACACGGTTCACAACTGCAAATCGGATCTCTGTCCAAGAGCCCTACCTCCCAGCAGCCCAATGAAGGACTGGGACAGCAGCGCAGGGCTTGAAAAAGACCTGGCCGGCCATGTGACAACTTATAGGCCATCCGACTTCCGCAACCTGAAGAACTTCTCCGAAAAGAAACGAAAAAACTCCCTCACCGGTCAGCGCGGATGCTCTCTCTTCCGCTGGAGGGGGAGGGGAAGAAGGTGCTCAGCTGACCTCGAAGATTCGTCCGAAGATCCGTGGAGGACCTTTGGACCGACTGGCCAAACCTGCATCCAACAGTGAAAATCAACGCTCCAACAGTGAAAGCTCCAACATGCTTAAGCGGGATGTAAATGTAAATCGTGGTCCAAATAACAACCGCCTATCCGCACCACAGGAGCCCCCAACAACATTCTGCCACCTCCGAGCGTAGGCAGCTTCACATGGTTCGGTGTGAGTAGGGCCAAGTGGAGATACTTTGACCGCCACGGGTACTTCGCTTCGAGCCAGCCAAACCAGAGATACAGTGCATAGGAGTCGGCTTGGTGACTGATGCTCCAAGGACATCCTAAGATCACCTTACACACGAAGGTTTAATACGTAATTTTACTTGGTTCACACGTTTGCAGAGCGCAGCTACTCTGATGTCCCTCTAGGAAAACACTCAGACTCAGACCTCTGTTGTCTCAGGATGGCGCGGTCGGAACGGAAATGAATCGATTCATGTGTGGCGCAGTGCTGCCCTGCCGGTGGCTCATTCAGTTGGGCATGTGTATGATGCCAGAACTGGTGATAGGCCGTGAGAGTGTTAATCACTTTTCCAGAAAAGACCTGAGAGGACAAGCCTAGCCTGCAAATCCGGTCACTAACAAAAAGCCTGTGTCGAGATTACCCTTGCCGCTCCTTCAAGATTCAGGATGCTTTCAACGTTAAGTTCCACTAACACAAACTGCGTTCACACTCCACTTATGAGGACCAACAGAACGTTAAACCGTGCATGTTCAAACTTTACAGCGAGGCACTTACCAGGTTGCGAAAAAAGAAACTGGCTCGAACAAGGTCAAATCACGGAGCGTCCGGCATTCCTCTTTTTAACTGCACCGATGCTGCTGGTGGTTGAAGCAAATCTATGCTCGACCTTCAGAACTTCCGAATTCCAGAGGCCGGGTGGAGCTTCAACACCTGCCCCTGAGTATCATGATTGGTCGACGAAGTCCTTGTTGATGTGCTTTGATCTGCTCTAGCTCTTGCCCACATAAGTACGAATCGCATTCATCTCCTCCATGCTAAGACCTCTTTCAGCACGAGAAAATGTCTTTTTTAGTCCAAGGGCTCATATGTGACTTGGACTCTCATACAGCAAAACCTCAACTGGGGAATAAAAATGCCAAGTATGCCACCAAGGGGCATAGCTCTGCACACCGATCCCTTAGCTGATTCGCAACATCAGCAGCAGCATCATCCAGAGTGATGCCCAACACTCCTCAGCACCCATGGCCAGAGACCGTGAAACGTGAAAGGTCAAAGGTGGCTTAGCTAAACGGCCTTTCTCTGTTTTTGAAGCGGTGCACCAACAAGGAGCAACGAAAAGTGTCAAAACTGCACAACCTGGCGTCAGGCAAGCCTCTCTCACGAACAAAATAGAACGTCTCCAGGTAAGCCACACCGTCTTTGACTGCCTTTTCCTTGCAAATCGGCAAGCTTTCATATTTCTTGGCCGTAAAGTACGATCCGAGCTCCTGCCTTGCTTGCTGCATCAACCGACCAAAAAGAATCTCAGATTGCTTGGCATGGCTACACTAGCAAAAAGGTCAAAAAGGTTTGTCATTGACAACTTAGGTGCAGCATCGTAAGAAATTCGTTAGACGGAAACTCCTCAAGTTTGTCCTCAGGGCAAGGTGCTTAGTGCCTAAACTGCTGTCCGCAACTTAACGCCATGGTTTCAGAACTGGATTGCTTCACAGTAATTCATGGTTTCATGGCAGTAGTCTAAGCCTGTGACCGAAGGATTGATGCGCAATCCAGTGAATTGTTCAGGGCGTGTGGTTGTACAAATATGGGCTGTATACACTTTTGAGGAAATCGTCCTCCTACAAACATCTGATTGAGGAAAGTTATATGCTAGACGTACAGCATGGAAGAATCCTAACCCTGTGTCCTCCAGCCTCCCAACAGCATGGCTAAGGACAGAGATCACTTCAGGTGGGAGATTCAGTATGGTCTTGCGGTCATGGATGAGATCTTCAGCAGTAGCATCCTCGTCCGGAATCCATTTGGTTGGGTGGGGAGGATACGCTGCCCCGCTTGAAGATGCGTCCTTGTAGGCTGTCAGGACATCCATGACTTCATCCAAGTCGTAACAACTTAGAAGCTCAATTTGATGCTCAAGCCCTTTAAAGTCCGCACCACAGGGGTAAAACTCCTCGATGATCTCCACAGCCTTGTCTCGGACTGCTTCATACTGAGCATACTGTTCATAGTCGCAAGCATCCAAATCTGCCTCTTCCCAAACCTCTTCCTCAACGAAGGTCTCACAATCAGCGAGGTTGTACAAAAGAGCTGCTAGTGGTTGGGCTCGTCTTATTGCCTCAAGACAAATGCTAGAGGACCTCCTGTCCCGGAAGACTCAGAATCCTGGCGAGTCGGTCTTCGAGTTCTGTGGATGTTCTCTGTGCCCTCTTTCGGAGGTATCAGCCTCGAAGAGTGGCAGAGCGCTCGAGGCTCTTGAGACAGCTGGTGGAGCCTAAGACCTCCAGGAGCCTCAACGAAATGTTGGAGGTGCTGAGACGGTGGAGGGACAGTTTGAGAAGAGCACAGTTCAAGCCTCAAGCCTCAAGAAGAAAGGTCGCTATTTCGGGTGTTCGTCGACCAAGCACAAAGACCGAGTTTCTCAGAGGGAGGTGCATCCTTCCGGCGGAGTGCTGAAGGGGAGTGTCGGAAAGATTGCACCGAATTTGAAGCTTGCGGGACCCGGTGCCACCAATCCGCAGATTAGAGTGTGGTCCTTCCTTTGCCCCAGGTGGGGTCTCTTTCCAAGCTTACCGCTTCCATTGGAGAAACATCAAATTGCAAACTCACACTAAAACATCTTTCAGCAAAGCTGCCTGGGCCTATGATGTGCACGTGCTCGTCTTTTTCGCAGAAGCCACTACGCAGGAGGCTTCGTTTCAGCAAATTGACATCCTCCTGTGGACTCTTTAGGTCTGGTTCCTCCGGATTGAGCATGTTCCGGGTGCTCGCAATCAACATCGCGTGCCTCAGTCATCTGTCTCAAAAAAATTGGAAGAAGCAGTTTATCAAGGTACTGCTTTCGGAGAAACATATCCATGGTGGAGCCTGATGGGATCGCATGCGGGATTGACAATGGTATACAGCCCAGGTTTGCCGAGCGTTTGAGAAACGGACATGTTTGTTCGACGAAGGTTGTTGGATGTAAGAGTTGATGTGTAACCTCAACATCATGAAAACAAAGCTTGTTGCTTGGAAAGGCACCTCATCCCCCACCCCAACCCCAACACAAAGACATCACGCAGTAATTCATTAAGAAACTTCACCAACAGCAAAAGCAACTGGATTTGTAGGGGCCTGGCTGTTGCTGCCCTCGCCAAAGTGTCACTATTGAGGGGCATGGGACTAGACTAGAATCACGGTTTTAGAAAGCGTCCACATTGATCTGCTGCATCTTTACTTCCCCATCGTGAGAGTTGCGACCTGCCAAAAGCACATCCATCCGCCACAACCATCGCCGTGCTGCCACAACGGGCGCCGTGAGGACCGCGGCGCTCGTTGGCGCGAAGAGGACCTGAGGCTGAGGGAGGAGGGGATGGCTGAGACTTACACAGAGTCCCGCTGAGCCGGAAGACGATGCGTCGAGAGGGGACCTGGGTCGACTTTTTCCAGGGCATCCATCCTCCTCTACAAGGAATCCTGAATTTCCCATGTCCTGTTTTCATCAAGTCCTCATATGGCAGGGGCAGGAGCAAACTCTAGGCCTAGGTCATCTGTTGACTAGAACCCCTGTGGAACAATAGTTCATCTCGACGCATTCAGTTCAAGGCATCAAGCCTATAGAACCTGCGTGGAAGTGTATCTGCAAAAGGCCCGGGACGGGTCTACTCATCGCAGGATCCGCAATGGTGGCTGGAAACTTTGAGACGTGCGAACTGCCGTCCCCCAGCAAATCACTTCATTTACCCGAATATACTGAAGACTACCTGGGCGCGTCACTGGAATGGGTTTTCCTCTGCCAAACTCTGGTCAGGGTATATGTGACAAATCCCAGAGACTGCTGAAGCCTCCCATGCCAAGTCTGCCAAGATGCTTCCTGACCATGGCGACTAGGAACTCACAGGCCAGCTATGCGTCTTGGAAGAAACTTTGATGGTAATCATTGGCAAAACCCTCGTCTACAATTTCTAGCTCGGGCATCGGCACGAGATGATGATGGTTGCCAACATGTGCAAACACGATGAGATATCACGTCGTATCTGTTTGTGCGTCAATTGACAATGTCGCTGCATTGCTTTAAAAAGCATCTTTTGGCTGCTCCGACTCACAGCCGGGCCTGCAGCAGTCAAAAGCAAAACGAAGAACAAACAGGTGACTGAAATGGGTGTCAGTCCAATGGAAATTAGGCATAAACCAGCTGGACATGAACCGCCAAGTTCAGCCGTGTCCGCAATCTTTTTCCCAGGTCCGCCAATCATGGTCCCGAGGGGCCTCGCATGTGGTTGGGATCCGCATATCCTGCACCCGTGGGGAATCGCCTAGAAAGGCTCTCAATGTGCCGGGACATTAATCGAGTTGCAGCCAGCCGATGTTCAACTGTTACTTAGACTGGTACTTGGCATGGAGGATGTTATGCCAATCTCGTCAGCCGATTGCCGACAAATCATTGTTTGCACGATCTTTTATTGTTGCTTCGCACCAGAGCGTTTTTGGCGCTCGGATGAATCTTCACTCGCTGTTGCCTTCGTCACGGCTGCAGCAACCTGAGAATGTCCCAACACCCAATGGAGCAACGGGTGGCACCTGGCACAGAGCTTCAGCAGGCACCAATCCCAAAAATATGAGCACCTTGATTGCTCGAAGTCTCGTTGATCAGTTTTGATCCATGAGAACAGCAAATTCCCCAGGTTCGTTGTGTTGCCCACCACCTGTTTCCCTGAAGCGCATCTCTTGCTGAATCACCTCCATCTCGTCCTTGCTCAGACCTCTTGAAATCGCGATCCACCAACATCTGAATCCAAACAAATTGTCAAACATTCAAGGACCCACATGTCATCAGTGTCAAACGTTTTCTGATTTTTAGCCTTTGGTGGATCAAGCATCGAGGTTCAACAATTTTTGGGATTTGAGAACTTCCCTCAAAGCTGGAGACTATGGAGGTTCCTCTGAACTGGTGTGCTTTAAAAAGGAGTCCAGCATGGATTTGGGTTCCTGCATGGTCGGTTGCCTCCAAAGAAACCATTCACAAGGCATGTTCTTGCGTCTCTTCACATACAAAGAGCCATCAGTCTACCTACAGTGCTGTTCTGATATCATGCTGACACATTGGAAACTACCAAGGATTATTTAGCGAAGGCCAGCATATGGACGTCAGGACTAGCAGAATAAACATGAGAAATTGAAATCATTCCTTAATCCAGAAGGGCTGCATACAAGTCAACTGTACAAACTGTCCTGCACCAGGTTACTTATGATTTACCTTGAAACTCTTTCACACTCCTTCTTGGTAGTGTGAGCGCTCGAATTTCTATTTTAGCTCACTCTGCCACCATCGTTCTCTCTATCCGACTATCCATATCGTTCTTCATCTGTTTGATTCATCCTCTCAAGAACAGGGTTCCTGGAGATATCTGGTTGCATCCTTTCCGGGTGGTCTCTTTTCATCTCTGCTAGTTCAAGTATTCTTTCATAACGATCTACAGTATTTCATAGCTCATTGCCTCTGCTCTGTTATGTTTTCCTCTCCCTAGCAAAGTCTCTTGTGTTTCTTTCAGTTGCTCAACCTCCTGCAAGAGTCGACCACATATTAGTATTGCCTGTCCCCTCTCATATATTATTCTGCCCTAAAAGTTGGTTCCCTATTTCCTGGTCTGAATCTTCTTGTCAATGGTCCTTCTGTGGGAACTTCTCCTTCTTTGGCTGCTTTCAGCATCACCTGATGACCACGATATCGTCCTTCTGTTGTTCTCATATCTTCCAAGCTCCTTCTTGCTAAGAAATTTGCTGCGTTCATCTCACCCATAATGTCATAGCTGATTATCTCAAGAGTATTTGGCGCTTCTTGTTCTACAAAGCCTCCATTGGGAATCAATCCACTAGGAACCCCGCTGGTGTAATCATGCAGCTTGTCTATCCTTTTGTTATCACCTTCTACCTGCCAAATGTTGCTATCTGTTGGCACTTGCACCATATTGAAATCTTTTCTGTTCTGAATCCATACAGACTTTCCATCTAGATGTCTCACTTTTCCAACTCCTCTCTTCTCACAAATTGGCGCGCACTTGAGGAATCTGTGAAGACATAATGGCCCACCTTGGTCCCAAGCGCAAACTCAAGAACTGCGCGAATACATATATATACAGTGTATATATATATATATATTCCACCTGACATCTGAGGCTGAAGAAACTATTGCGCGCCACTCTGCTTCACATGAAGATAAGCTAATGATCGTCTGTGTCCTGCTGCTGTTGAACAACGGACAACTGCTCAATGCATGGAATCCTCCTGAAGTTAATTCTGCGGCTTTGTTTCCACTCCAGTCTGGTTTGAGAATGTCTCCAAGCACCAATAGCTTCCTCCTTTCTTGACATAGCCTTCTCCTGCCTGTGGAAAATCAACTACTAGACAATAGAATTCCTGTATTCCAGGAAATTCTTGAAGCGGTGAAATGACATAGGTGTTGGGTTTGACATTCTTGGGGCCAATCGCTTCACTGTATCTGCCACACCGTACCTCTCTTGACATACGCAGATACCTGATCCAACAATGCTTCTGAAAAGGCTAACCTTTTCTTGCTCACGCAAGACCTCTGGATTGTATTCCATCTGAAATGAACGGTCTGATGGCAATTCCTGAAGCTTGATCTTCCCAATCTGCTCTTCATAAGCGTTCAGCATCTGCTGGACACAGTTGCCTGGCCGGATCCATAGTCCATCTTTCTCTAGTTTGCGCTTTCAAACCAGGAAGTTGAACTCATCACCAGTCTTCTCAATTTTGCTCACACGGGCGTCAAGCCTGTCTTGAACCTTTGGAAGAAAGATTTCATTGATATACTTTGAACAACCTGTGAAAACCAAGTCGCCCACATGGATCAAAATGATACTCTTCTCATGTCTTCCCAGGCGTGGACACTCAGCACTGAACCCGTACTTGAGTTCCTCGGTGAGGTACTCTGTGAAAAGTCAAACCATGCTTTTGCTCCAACTCTTTGTCCAGGTAAGTTTCTTTTCACCAAGGGTTCTTCTCCTCTCAAGTCCACTTTCAATGGTTTCTCCTGTTGAACCTGCAAAAATGCATCTTTCACATCAAGACATCCTAGTATCTCGGAAAATGCTCCTTCTCCCTCTCTTGCTTCTTCCTCCTCTCTGACTCTCTGCAAGAATATTGTGGGTAGAAGCTTCAGTACATGTCCTGAAGTCGCTGGTGTGAAAACGTCATCTCTCTTTCCTTCAGCGAAAGCAAGTTCTCTTGCAACTAGTCTTGATCTTCTCTTCCACCTTTTGGTTGTTGTTCCATCTCCATGGTGATCAGGCTTCTTTCTCCAGTCATACACATTGCCCGTTGTCAGGTAACTGATTCCTTCTGCTTTACCTTCTGGTTTCTCTAGCACTTGCATCTTCTGCAACCTCTTCTCTTCAACTTCATCAGCTACTCGGTCTACCCATTTTTCTGGATCTCCTTCTGGTTCATGCTCTCCATCATGGCATAAGCATTCAGGTCCATTCACTTCATCTTCCTCTTTTTCATTGTGTATTCCCAGTCTTCTTCATCAATTTCTTCTGCAACTGGGGATAGCTCTTAGTCTACCCGGTAAAGATCTTGTCCTGCAACGTTTACCAAGTTGATCTGGGCCTCCTTGCTGGAATCATCTGATGGCCTGAGCTTCAGAGCGCTTTCCTCTTCAAACAACTCAAAGGCTTCCCTTGGTCTTGAAGGCGCTGATGGTGGTCTCAATGAAGATAGCAGAAGAGTAACTGGATTGGGTTGTCCTGCTGGCAATGATGTAGATGGACACGCCTTCACCTTCTCTAGCGTTTTCTCATCTGCAAAGAGAACTTTGTGCCTCTTACTTGGTGTCTCTTCTCCACTTAATTTCTTTCACCTCCATCTCTTTTCATTGCTTCCACAAGGATTTCCAGCGGGGCTGGAATCGGCATTGGTTCTGGGAATCGTGCTTCCTCTTTCTCGGAAATACTTCCTCCTTCAGAGCTGCTTCTGCATCTTCACCTTTGAACTTCAACATGTCATACTCTCGAGGAATGTCTGCCCACTCTGACGGCAATGCTTCTGCTCTCCTCTTTGCTCCAAAGTGGTCTGATATTCCCATGAATACGCATGGGGGCTTTTGTAGGTTGGCAAGTATTTGGACCAATCTTGATCTGTTCTTCTGGCGCATTTGCTTGGCACTACCTGCACACCATCTGTCAACACATAAGCGTCCGTCTCGTCTTTCAACTTTTCTCAAGGACAAGCATACATGCAATCTCGCTTCTCCTTTGTTGAGACTCTTGTAACCATGAACTGGTTCACCATACTCAGCCAAATGTGCTTTGTAGTTCTTGCCATAGACACGCTCATAGGGAGTTGCACCCTTCACTGGCTGAAATCTGTTCAGCACCTGCATGATCTGACCCTATCTTGACACCAAGCCTTGACACCTTCAATGAAACTTCTTGCAAGCTCTCTCACCCTGTCAACTGCATTCTCTGACAGAAATGAGAGATCTCCACGCTTTGCAGTAGTCATTCTTGTAGTGAGTCCTAGGCTGTGGCGAGCGTTGATCAACATCTTTAGCATCTGTCTTGTTGCGGGTTCATTGTCACTCCTGTCGGTGATTGCTGAATACCCGAACATTTACTAAAGTTTATCGACTCTTGCACAATTAGGCGAAATTGACGCTTGCTTCCTAATGCCACAACACGAATGTATCCAGTTGGCTGTCAACTGCAACTAGCCAACATACTGCTCTTGCTGACTTTGTCTCCGAGTCAAAGCTCACTTCACGCCATCTGTTCTCTCACGGCGACCTGGACGCGCTCGATGCTCAATGCACTCCTTACACCAATTGACACATGGGTCAACCTGCGCCTTGCCTGAGTGACTTCGTCTGGCATCTTTGCCACACTTTGTCCCCATGCCTATCTTGTCTCTTGAGCTATTGTTTCACTCACCAAGCTTTTGGCATTCAAGAGTTCCCTCTGTTTGTTGCGATCGAGGATCTTTGCGTAGACCTTTAGCTAGAGCCACTTCCTGAAATGCTGAGAAATGAACACGCTCCCCTCAAAGTTGCTACAGTAGAATCTTGAGTCAACTCTACTCCCTTCACCAAGACCTTGTCTACATCCATTGGGCTCAACAGTAGTTCACATTTCTTTTTGACCTTGTACCTCCTTCTCCGCTGGAGTAGGGGTAATCTCTTCGATTGCCTGCCCCACTTCTTTCTTTCTTTCTTTCCTTTTCTGTTCTGTTCTTTTCTTTCTTTCTTTCTTTCTTTTGTTATTTCTTCTCCTCCCTGTTCTGTTCTTTTCTTTTCTTTTCTTTCTTTCTTTCTGTCTTTATGTCTTTCTTTCTTTCGTTCTTTCTTTCATCTCTGTTATCAAGCTTCTTGTACCCTGGTGCAAAGAATCCCATGTCTTCTGCTGGTGCTGGCTCATAGCTGAAGATTGTGATCGAAGGAATGACTGCACCATCATCAAAGAATTGCTCATCAAGTTTCTGCTTTTTCATCATGCTTTCACAATACTCAGGCATTAACCATCGACCTTTTCTTTTCGCCAAAGTGGTTCTCATCAACTCTGGTGACTCTTCCACTTCTGGAACGAATGTGGGATCAACAAATCTTGAAGTCAATAAGCTTCCAGCTGGCAGTCCATGCTCATTGGATCACCAACCTGCTGCCTTTTCCAAAGCTTCAGGCACTTGCACCTCCAAGCAGTTTTCATCTTCATCTCTAATGACTCTAACGCGGCCTTGAACTGTCAAAGAGCGATTTTGCAAGTTGGGCGGTACCTTCAAGTCACCATTCTCCAACATTTGCTCTCCGCTATTGATTTCCCAACCTTGCTCCATCAGCCTTCCATAACAAAGTATGGGCTGATTCACTTTTGAACTGAAAATCGTCCTATTCCTTTTCTCCTTCCCCATGATTTGCCATACTCAAAGGGAACATATTACATCAGCTCCACAGTCAACAATGATGGCCACATCCTCATGCTTTTCCCCAAATCTCCTCACCATCAGTTCATCATCTGAGATGTCGGTCACCCTGCAATCTTCCATCTCGGGCTCATCATCGTCACCATGATCATCTCCAATGTAGACGTGAACCACTCGAATTCCATGATCTTCTACCTCATCACCCCTCTTTTCTGACCACTGGTTTGGTTTCTGCTGACCTACTCTGCTGGCTAACATTGGCATGTTGTTGACCAACTGTGTGAGTAGTCACTGATGCTCCTCCTGAAGATGAAGGGGCTGCTGGATCACTTGCAACCTGTCGAAACTTGTTTCTCCAACAATCTCAAGCAAGATATCCTGGCTTTCCACAAGCGTAGCACGTTGCCACATCTTTTTTCCTTTTTGGTCTTTTCCTTTATCTTTGCCCTTGTGATCACCTTCTGTTCCTTTCTGATCTCCTTTCCTTTCTTTCCCTTACCTTTGGCATCTTTACCTTTGCCCATTTGATGATCATTTTTGCCCTTCTTAACTTTTCCTTTGGCATCTTGCACTTGATCGATTTCCACTGGCATGAGTCCTTCATAGTCTGTATTGCTATACTTGCCACCATGGAAGTAGCCCACTTCTGCTGAGAACGATCCCACTGCAACACGTGTTCCCTCAAAGTTGGGTATTGAACATTAGTTGTCAAATTCAAGAATGATTTGAGCTGCCCACCTACATCTCAAAAGAACCGCAAATTTCAACTCGTCTTGAGTTCATCCCTGCCTTGACCGTCTCATCAAAAACTTCTTCAAGCTTCAAAAGCTGAGGTTGTAGTGCACTGTTCTTTGAAAATGCTGGCCACCTAGTAGCTGTTGAAGTAGGTTTCAAAGCTTTGTTCAAAATCCTCCAGGCATCAAGTCCAATGGAGACCTCCACAGCTTTCACCAATTGCAGTGCTCTTCCCTCATCAATGAAGCTAACAATCCTCAGAGCTTGATGCCCCTGGACTTCTCTTTGCCACCAGCCAAGTCCATGTCAAACTTCTCGTTTGGCTTGTCATGAATCTCCTTCAAGTCCTTCATGTAAGCCTCATCCACTGAGCTCAAACACCTATCAAATATCCATGACCACTCTCTGAATGCTTTGCTCTCTTCTTTTTGTGACCTGTAGTCAAAGATGTTGGGCTCTGCTATCAACTTTGACCAACCAGTTGTTGCTGACTTCTTGTCTTCATCTGCTTTCTTTACTGCCTCAGCTGCTGATGTTGTTGCTCGCGTGCTCTGTGCTATGACATTGAGGATTCCTCTGATCTCCTCCATCTCCACTGCACACTGCTGTCTTTCTGACAGAATGTACGGGGCACAGAGTGTAGCTCACAACAATGTATCACCAGTCCAGATATTTGGGTTCCAAAGGCCCAAATCTATGGCTCGAAATCGCACCCGGAATCCCAGTCACCTAGGGGCTTTTCCTCTGGAGCTCAAAGGTGGTTGCCCTTATCCTAGCTCCGCTACCATGCAACCTTTTTCCGTAATCCAAAAGGGCTGCATACAAGTCAACTGTACAAACTGCCCTGCAGAAGGTTACCTATGATTCACCTTGAAACTCTTTCACAGAAATGCATGTTCAATGTTGTTTGTTATTCTCAGCTACCGTGTCTCCTCTCCACCTAGGGCCCACCTCCTTTCCATATCGTGTATTTCTATATGTATTCTCCCCAGTTCATGCAAGCTGTGTATGGCTTAGGTCATGACGTCTGATGACTGTGGACTTGAGTGAGAAATTCAAGTGACCAAAGCAGGCTCCAAGGTACATAATTTCTCGCACCGGTCCATCAGCACCCTCTCTGCGACCTTCGGCGAGGTGACACCCAGCATTCCTTGGAAGAAGCGAGGCTCACCAGTTGCAGCAAGGTTTGACCAAGCGGATTGATGAAGAGCGACATTGATATGGCTCAAATAGTTCGACCGTGGGACCGACTGAGGGTGTTTGCGTTGTTTCCTTGTAGCCAGTAGGTTTGAGCACCTAATTTTTGAGCCAACGCCTAGAGCCACATGGAACTCGCTAGACATCTGTCCGTGATACCTTTCTGTAGGACGCAGACAATCCTACCAAAAGTGACTGAGCTGGTGGGAGCAAAGGCTCCTTCACCAACGAGGTAGTTCATTTGCAAGTCGTACAGGCGCTTTCTGACTTTATCTTCTTTGCAAGCTGACAATTTGTGCTCATACATCGTTGCTGTGAAGTAGAATCCCAGCTCTTGCCTTGCTTGGTGAATGGACCAACTGCAAAAATGCATTTTTGTTTGGCACTCACATTCAAAAAAAGAATTGACTGTTCAACAAGAAAGCTGCAACATCGTCAAGACAGACTCGGCAGGAAATGCCTCGCGCTTGTCCTCAGGGTCAGATCTTTCAAATCAACCCACCCATGACATTTTCAGAAGTTGGTGCTCAGTAGGCTGCAGTAGTACTTCCACTCAAATGTGCTAAGTAGTTGCAGCAAGCTAGGAAGCTTCAACACACCAGCTGGGCCCACACCTCTTGTATCAGGAGAAGCACGTTCCTTTGGATATCGAGGCTTGGTTCATCAAGCTCTACTTCTGGATCAGACCCCGTTTCAGTACTGAATGGCACGTTTTGAAGGCAAACTGTTCGTGGCCGCAAGATACATACAGTAGTGACCTACATGTTTGGAAGATCCTCCTTTACACAAAAAACATTCATGCTCTGCAATCCCTACACCCGCGTTGGGGAATCCCAATCCTCATTCTTCAATCTCCTGACCCCCATGCCAATAACACGAATCACCGTCTCTGGCAGATTCAGCATACCATGATGGTCATTGATCAAAAGCTCAGCGTCAGAAGGATCTCCAGGATTCCAGTCCGTTGGAGGTCGAGGACAGCCTCTGCCAACTGCGAACGCAGCCTGGTGTTTTGCCAGGACTTCTTTGACTTCGTGTAGGCTCTCACAGCTTAGAAGCCAAATTTGATGTCGAAAGTCGTCAAAGTGACGAGCACACTGGTAAAAGCCCTGGATAATGTTCATAGCTGTTTCTCTCACGGACTCATACTGATCATAAGAATCTCTCAGACTCTCCAGGTCTTTGGCATACTCTTCCTCACTCGGAGTGTCCTCGAAGGTTTCATAATCCGCGAGGGAGCACAAGTGATATGCCAGCAGTTTCTCCTGTCTCATTGTGTCAAGCCACTTCCTGTCACAGAGAATGTTCCTGCCAGCCTGTAGTGTGAGCCGGTTATCCTCAAGAGGATTGCGAAGATTCCCAACGCTCCTGGGTTCTCGAAGATCCCCAAAGGACATGACCTCAAGGTCCATTGCCAAATTGCTGTTGAAGTCAGCTAGATATCCAGGCTGGCATTCCATTTGGTAGCAAAAGGACTTGGCAAAAATGCATGAATCGTACATGTCCTTCCCGAGGTCACAAGCATACAAGAATTGGTACTGTTGCTTCTTTAGCAAGCGAATATTGTGAGCATGTGGCATCTCTTCCAGCCGCAAGGTGCACCTAGGATCTCTTCCCCTCAAATGTGCCCTCAGATCTTCAACCAGCAGCCGGCATGCTGCGACAACACACCAAAGCTTCAGGCCCTCCTTACGTGCAATCATGCCAAACAAGGTATCTTCCAGCCACAGGCCACGGATCGTTTCAATTGCGGTATTATTTTTCCAGTCAATTTGGCTTTCCGGCACGAGAAGGGTCTCCTGAAAACTCTCTTGCAGCATACCACCGGATTTGCCAGAGAACCAAACGAAGAGTTGAGCGTCTTGAGGTAGGTGACAAATCAGTTGCTCCAGAGTTTCCTTTATCTCATCACCTGACAAATTGTCAAAGTGTCTCTGAGGCTTGCGATTGAGGAACGAACGAAAGATGTTTCCATTGTGGACAGGCATGGGCGAAAACCTCTGACCAATTCTGTCAAGTCTGGCTATAGCAATACTGGCCATGCTGCTAAAGACAGGAAAAACATGTGCCAAGCCCATGGATTCCTTCCTTTGCGCAGGAGTTTGTTCGTTTCCCAAACCAACTTGAAACAAGCTTCTGGGAACTGCATCTGCACATCCACGTGTTACCGGCTGCCGGATGAAAACGAAGACTCCCTAAAATATCTCAATCGAGTACAGCTGATGGTCAAATCTCCAATTGGGTGACCCCTATGAATCTTTTCAATGGACGCTGTAGGTTCAACTGTTCCGAGAAACCAATTCCTCGAGAAACGAATTCCTCTTCTGAGCAGTACTTTCAGCACGGCCACCTGTTTTGTTGAAGACCTTGAGCAAATCCTGTTCTCTTTTGCAGAAGCCGCAGCGCAGCAAAGCCCGCCCTACCAGCTCTGCATCCTGAACCGCCTGCTTCAGGGCTGTGCTGTTGTTGGCGATCAACACGACATGCCTCTGTCAGCACTGCATGTGGTGGGATCTGAAAATTTGAGTCATCTGAACGTGAATTGAAATGAATGCATGTTCACGCGCTGATTCTTTCCCTGGGTTCAAAGACAGAAATAGACTCTCAAAAATAGAAATAAACACGCTTTGCCGCGAATGAGTGCAAAAAAATCTACTTGGCAAACTTGCTTGGGCAGCCACATGTATTGTCTACGGGTATCGCAAAAAAAGTATCTCGCACCAAGATGTTGTCTTGCTTCCAAATCCGCAAAACTGGGTTGCAAGCCTTATGAGAGCTTCCGTACCAAGAAAACCGCAAACGCGAAGCACAGCTGTATTTTGACTCGTGCCAATTAGTAGGGTCTTGATGAACCAAAGGAGTTTAGAGCCTGAGGGATCCCAAAGCCGACCTCACTTGTCATGGAAAGTTCTATTTGACCTGGAGACCGGATCCAGGGCAAAAGCTTGGATGGTCTGGTCTGGGAGAGTTGGGGAGGTTCATGGATCTACTTCTGAGTATGCAAACGTCCAAAACAAGCGACTCAAGCACGCTTTGTTTGGCACATATGGTGGGAAGAATGGGGGCGTACTCGATTCCATATAGACAAGTCTGCCAAAACAAAAAAACTTCTGTGCTTCTGTGGGAGGTTGGAAAACAGGGTGTCAACCCCTTTGCCACCTCTGCCTCCAGGAAACCAGCTGCAAGTTTCTGATGCAAGATGAGCGCTTATGGGTGTTCATCTCTGTTTCTTTTGAAACGCAGGTTTGCTTGACCCACACAAACGCCAGGTTCCACTCACACACATCGGCCAAGATGCCACCTTGCTCCCAGGCTTGAGGCCTGGTTTTTGGCTGCTGTAAGGTTGGGGGAGAGTTCTAAGGCTACCAAATGTTTGGTTCAGACAAATAGGGATGCATAGGTCAGCACAAGCCTCGAAGAGACAAACAAAGGATAACAAAGGTATATATAGTAACGACTAGATAGACTAGGTGGATTTGGATATACAGTGCTGTGGCAAACGCAGGGACAAGAGCAGCAGCAACAAGGCAAAGGGCAAGAAGACAGGTCAGAACAACCACAACACGATTGACGAGGGCAACAGTGAGTCTTCCACGTCAGCAAGGGAGGTGTTCTAGATTCTAAAGTATGTCTTACTTTTATGGCCATGTCTTGCTCATAGCAGCTGGGACAACAAGAAATCATTGGAGGGAGCCCCAATCTCCACGGATCCAGCCGGATGCGTCGCTATGCGGATCCCCGCGACGAATCGCCCCCTGAGGCTGTAGCAATCGCTGTCAAGAAGTGCTGGTGGCCAACACCGGCTTCCAGGAGTGTTGAAGTCTCTGGCCTGGCCGTCTCCAGTTTCAAAGCCCCCCGAAACCACGTTGGCACATGGTGGGTTGATGAATGTTGTCATTGAACATCCTTACTGTCAGGTCATCAAAGCTCCGGCGATTTGCTACGATGAGGAAAACTTGAGATCTTCTGAACCATTGGTGACAAACATCCCGCATAGTGTTTACAACTCATGCAGGCACATCAATTTGAATATTGTGGCACTTTTGTTCGGACACTTTCTGGCTAACCCAGCCCAGCTCCACTCGAAGCATGCATGATGCACAGAGTCTCGCCCGAGCGTGTGATGAGCTTCTGGATCTTGGCGTCAAGCCTCTGCCTAGGCCGGGATTGTCATCGGATGGTCTCTCAGGCTTACAAAGGTAGGGCATAGGAGGGGTGGGCGTGAGATGGAATCCCACCGCCTTCGCACCATCACAGGTACCCACCAGCGCAAAATCGCCAACCAGTTGCTTTCAAGTCACTCGGCTTCCTTCTGCAAATCTTTGATTGTGCGGCCTCGTTCCCACACGCCTTACTGTAATGAGCCAACGGTTTAGATTGTTGAGTTCTGGGGTCGGTCACTAAAGTTTGTAAAGTGTTCTGCTTGAGGATTGATTGGAACACCGCAATGCAGTGTCCAGACATGAGTGTCCAGAATGCCCAAAGGGGAGACAAACTTCCAGCATTGCATGCCCTCAGACTACAAATCCAAAAGTGCTTGCAGCAAAGCTACAAGCAACGCTTTGCCCACTCAGCAGTCCCACATAGACATAAACCTGAGAAGGTTGCCAAAGTTTAGCAATAGGGCAAGTGATGAAAAAGCAAGCACAGCACTTAAAACTTTGAATTGGCTTCTACCCTCGCATTTGCATTTGCATTGGCTTGCAGTTTGTTGAGTGTGCTTCTGCAAGGCGTGTGCAAACATGCCAAGCCGGCCTGAGGCTTCAGCACGATCTCCGCAAAGTCCTTGGGCCCAACTATCTCGCCGATTTCCCTAAGGCGTTCATCCGTGTCTGGCAAGTCAAGGTTCCAAAAAAAATCATTCTTGGGTCCTCCCTTCTCCAGAACGGCTCTTCCATCCTCCCCAGGCTTAACGAATGCGAACTCATCTGTGCAACTCTTGTAGAGGTGGAGGACGAGGGCAAAATCACCGCTTCCACACCAAGTTTCACGGACCCACCAATTCTGTCGATTCAGCCACGTTGTTTCCCCTGCTGGAAATACTAGCTGTTGGTGCCTTCCTGGAGGGAGCTGGAGCCCACAATCGCCATCCTGGAACTCCATTGGGCTCTCATCAAGAAGTGTCTTGTAAAAGTGGCAATGAATTTCACCAAAAAGCACTCGGACGCTGCCTGCACACCCTCCATAATGAAGCTTCGGCGATCGATAGCCCTGAGGCCATAGCTGCAGAACAGCCGTCAAATGTCCCAATTCCTTAAGGCCAAGACCAATACGGATGTTGGTCCTGAATTTGCCGTTAAACAACCTCCCGGCAGCTTCTCCCTCTTCAAGGAGTTGCTGCAATGCTCCAAATTGCAAAGAATCTCTGATGGTTTCTATGCATCTGGGCAGCACCTCTGACGCAAAATGGTTCATGCCTGGTCCGTGGGCTAGTGCGCACACTGTCCTGGCATCATCTGGGAGATCCAGATTGGGACCATGAGGAGTATAAAGCAGTGGCACGGAAAGATCATTCGCGATGCACTCCCAGATGTCCAAGTGCAGCTTCTCCTTGGTATCCAAGGCATCACATTCACGCACTACTCTGCAACAGGCGATGCAAATGCATCGGATCCTCAAAACATCAATCTCCAGCTTCTTCTGGATGACTTGTTGGTTGTATGCGAACAATTGTCGTGGAGTCCTCTGCTTCCATGGCGTGTTCGGTTGGCCAAACTGATCTGGAGAGAAAATGTCCTCTGGGATTCGAATCCTCTCATCTGAAATCTCCGTGATGTCGCGATCGTTCTCAAAAACCCGAATGCGACAGGGGATGCGGGCATTGTCAGATACTCCCTCGAACTTCTTCCTCTCCTTGCATTTCAGGTTCCAACAGATTAAAAGGCACTTCTTGCTCAGCTCCTTAAAGGATCTGTCCAGCAGCAACTTGCGGTGCTCAACAAGCAGGGAATCTGCACCAACTTCACTGCTCCCTTGGAGAAGCAGCACCGCAAGCGCGGTGTTTCAACCAAGGCTTAGACACTTCAAAAAATCCGCCGACCCCACTCGTGGGGTGAGGCGTGACTGTCGATGATAGCCTTAGCCTTAGCCTTACTTAGCCTTATCCTTAGCCTTAGTCCTTAGCCTTGGCCTTACCTCCCCTACCCCTCCGGACCCTTGTTGCAGTGACGAAATCTGCCGAAATCTGCCAAGATTTCTCCAAGATCTCGCAAAGATTTCTCCAAGAGTTGTCCAAGATTTCTCCATCCCAATTGATTACATCTTGGGGCACCCTCTCCACCCGCGCGGGAAAATGAGCACGGTCCATAAATGGTCCCGGGCTCGAATTCCGGGGCGGTCGCGGCGTGATCCCTGCCAATACCCTTGACTCTTCCTAGATTTTGTCACGTTTTCCGTTGGATTTGTAGGATTTTCAAAGGCTTTTCCAGCATTTTCCTAGGAATGCTCTTGTTTTTTCTAGATGTTGTTACGTTTTCCGCTGGATTTGTAAGATGTTCAAAGGATTTTCCAGCGTTTCCTCTTGTTTTTGGGTTCCCAGATTTCCCTAGAAAATTGCTAACCCATTTTATTCCATTGTTGTACTCATGCCTTTCATGCGCTTTGCAAAGGCTTTGACAGGATCCCTGGTTACTTTAGGTCTTTGTAAAGGCTCTGTGTTGCTTTTTGGGCTCCCAGATTAGCAAAGAAAATTGCTAATCCATTTTCTTCCGTTGTTGTTCTCATTCTTTTCATGCGCAAAGAGTTTTGACAGGACGCCTGGTAAATAAGCATGGTCCATAAATGATACCGGCCTCGAGTCCCGGGCTGGTCGCGGCCTGGCCCCTTCCAGCGCCCTTGGTTTTTCCTAGATTTGGTCACGTTTTGCGTTGGATTTGTAGGATTTCAAAGGTTTTGGCAGCGTTTACTTAGGAATGCCCTTGCTTTTTCTAGGGTTTGTCCCGTTTTCCGCTGGATTAGTAGGAGTTTCAAAGGCTTTTCCAGCATTTCCTCTGGTTTATTTGGGTATCTGTAAAGGTCCCGTGTTGGTTTTTGTAAAGAAAATTGCTAACCCGTTTTCTTCAATTGTTGTCCTCACGCCAAAGGTTTTGACAGGATGCCTGGTTACTTTAGGTCTTTGCAAAGGCTCGAGTTTGTCAAGTTTTCCGCTGGGTTTGCAGGAGTTTCAAAGGCTTTTCCAGCATTTCCTCTGGTCTATTTAGGTATCTGTAAAGGCCCCGTGTTGGTTTTTGTAAAGAAAATTGCTAACCCATTTTTCCATTGTTGTCCTCACGCCAAAGGTTTTGACAGGATGCCTGGTTACTCTAGGTCTTTGGGTTCCCAGATTTAACCCATTTTCTCCCATTGTAGTACTCATGCCTTTTATGTGTTTTGGCGAGGCGTTTGCCGGGCGCCGGGTTCCTGCTAGCGCCTATGGTTTGCGCTAGATTTTGCAACGTTTTCCGCTGGTTTTGTAGGATTTTCAGACGCCTTTCCAGCATTTCCTCTGGTGTCTAGGTACTTGTAAAGGCTCGGTGTTGGGTCTTTCTTTCCCATATCTGTAAAGAAAGCAGCTAACCTATTTTCCCCCATTTGCAAACGTTTTCCGCTGGACTTCTAGGATGTTCTAAGCTTTACTCCTGCTTACTTGGGCGCTGCAGGAACATATCATGTCTCTAAAGATTTCCTATCTGCGCTCTGCAAACTTTTTCTGCTCTTCACTAGCGCTGTGCTGGCGTGCTGCCAGCTCGCCGGTGGAACTCACCTGGCCGGGACAGCGGTCCTTCCGTACTGCTTTTTGGGTTCCCATATTTTCCTACAAAAATGCTAACCCATTCTCCGTGCTCTCTTCTGTCTTCTTGGTTGGCTGAACCCTTGGGGGGGGTTCTCATCACAGTTGTTTGCGGCGTCCGGTTCTGAACAGCGGCTTAGCCTGTGAGTGATCCTTGCCCACAAATGGTACCCAAACAGGGAGATGTACATAGCCCACGCTCTCTTTCGCGGGACGGCATTGACCGAATACCGTGGGCAGCGCCCGTCTCCGTCACGGGACGCAGCACACACTGCATCCTACCGCTTCGACGAGTCGGCAACCTACAGCGGTTTCAACACAACTGTGGCACTTACATGCGCCGTGTTCTCTTTCGCTGACTGAATTTACCCCATACCATGGGCAGCGCCCTGCTTCGCCACGGGACGCAGAACACAACGCGTCCTCGATATTGCATCTTAGGGTCCTATGCACCAGCGACAAAAGCTAACCCGCCTACTGCTTCCATCTGTTGCGAACCCTCGGAACACGCCTGCCGGGGTTTCAGCGTCACCCGCCTTGGCGGGAGCTGGTTCCAGCGAGCGGTTTCGCCTGCGAGGTCTCCTCGGCGATAGATGATGCCCGGACAGGGGGACATATACGGGGATTCTTGGTGAGGGGACATACATTACAACGCACAAGGTGCGAAGCGGGTGCTACCGTCACACGTCAGCAACCTATAGTGGTTTCAAAACAACTGTGGTGTACAGAGGAACGGATGTGTCACAAAACACGCCCGTTGTGGTTACGAGCGCCTTCTGGGGTCTTATCATCACCCTCCTTTGCGGGACCCTGTTTTGAACCCTTGGCAGGGGGGTATATATGGGCAACATCTTCTGTGGCTGACTGAACGTACCCAACACCATGGGCAGCTCCCCGGGTCCCCAACCAGGCCAACGCCTGGCAGGCGCTGACCCCCAGAGAAGTGGATGGCATAGTCACTGCGCCCCCAAAGTAGGCAGAACAGAGCACGGCAAATGGGTTAGCATTTTTCTTCGAAAATCAGGGAACCCAAAAAACAACACGGAGCCCTAGACAACGACAGAATTATATCGAAAAACTAAAGAAAGTCCGGGAAAAACCCGCGGCCCACCCACGCACGGCCACGAGCTTCCTGGCCCAGCAGCTCCCTTCCGTGGCCGGTTTTCTCGCAGGTGTTCCCTTTGGCGACTGCGTCGCGCGAGATGAAATGACACTGCACGGCGCGCGTCTGGGGGGTTTCCAGGAGCAGCTATGCACGGATGGCGTACGTCGGGCAGCGCGGCAGCGTCGCTGCCAGCGCGGCTGCAGATATCTTCTCAGGCCGCGGCTTCAAGGAATCACAGAGAAAAATCTCTTCCCCAACCGCCACCCAGTGCGCATTCTGCCAGTTTTGGATGCATCCAATGCAGTTCTCCAAGCTTGCAGGGGTGTGGTCAATATCCAAAGTGTATCCGGCACTGAACAGGGCCGTGTACAGCACCTGGACGCTGTACCATCCTGTGTCAGAAATGCGCTCGCCGGTCCTCGTCAATTCCTTCAATTGCGGGCAGGTAGGCGTCTGCTGCTGCTTGCATGGATTCCGCAGTATCGTGCTTCCTGCAGGGCATTGTTTAGGGCTGTCATTCCACATTCGCTCCCCGTCTGTTGTTGAAAGAAGGGGAGCCCGTCATGTGCTGCACGCATGCTCGAGGCCATGTCTTGGGTTGATGCTCAACTTCCGGGCACTGGGCAGTGCGCGAGCGTTTCGCGGTGTCCCCGTCCACGAAATTCTCCGCCAGACTCCTCTTTGCGCGGCCGTGTGTCGATGGGCCCCGGCACCCTTCTTTCCACCCTCTTCCACGCATCTGAGGTCAGCAAGGCGAATTCTCTCTTCACTTTTCTTTTGCCACACCTTGTGCAACTGTAGCAACGCTCCTCTGCGTTGCACTCGTCACAGACCCTCCTGGCAGCTCGTCTGAACGTGTCTGTCGCCAGGTTGGAAAAGGCGGCTTTGCGTTTTTTCTCCTCGCAGTGGGCGCAGCGAAAGAGCGGCTCTAGCTCTTTGGCATGGCAATCGTCACAAACCCTCCTTTCTGCTCGCGTTAATGTGTTTGCTGAGAGCTTGGAGAAGGCCGCTTTGCTACTAGCCCCCACTGGAAACCCTACCACGCTTCGCCTTAGCAAGTGCTGCCGGCCACTCACAACTCATATTCCGCCCATACCAAACCCACTCCCCACCTCCCGCCGCTCACTTCCCCTATAGCTTCACGTCACACAACACTACATATCCCTTCCACGCCTCATCAAACACAGGCAGCCCCCAACTTGCTCTACCCTGTCGAAACGCTCCGCGCATGCCTCGTCTCCTAGCCTACAACAAACACACCGCACAGTTCCCTTTTCCATGCTCTCAATGGAAACTCACCATATCTGCGGCACACTGCCCATGTCACCGTGCATGTCCGGCTCCCTTCCTCTTTCATGGGCAACGCCCTTCTTACCACCGTGGAACTGGCCACCCTCCCATCCCCCCGACCGGCCTTAAACAGAATCAAAGTCCAACATAAACATTGCAGCTCTCTTTGCTTGCCACAACAGACCCTCTTCTTGAGGTTCTCCGGTCAACTTCGCTATAGCGTAGGGAGCAGAGCTTTGGCCGCAGCAGGAAGGTTTCAAGGCATCGAGATTCTCTGGTTGATTTTGGTTCATCAACAGACGAAGATCCCAAATCCATTGCAAGAGATTACAAGTGATTTCCGTGATCCAATCTTTACTCTATCTTCCAGTCCGCAAGTTGCACGAGTCGAATTTCAATTTTGAGGCTTTGGGGCTGCTTCGAAGGACGTGACTTTCAGTGAGTTGGTGGTGTCTGAAGTCCTTTTTCTCACCAAAGCAGTTGCACGAAGGAGCTTAGACACATTCCGACCCGATGAAACCATGTCCGGGCTCTTGTTTAACAACCTGCATCTGTGCGGCTTTGCACCCCTTCTTCGACACCACAGACCTCCTTCCCAGGCTCCCCGACCAGCATCGTCCTTGGCCTCGAGGTCGGCCCTGGCCTCGATGAGCCGCTGCGCCACCTCCCAATGGCCCTTTTCAGCCGCAATGTTGAGGGGCGTCACGCCTCGGGGCGGATCAATCCGGTCGAGGCCGCGGGGAGTGGAGCATTGGCAGCGACGGAAAAGGAAGCAGAGGAAATTCTGAGGGCTTTGCGATTGTGTGTTTGATAGTTGGAAATTACCTTCAAGGCCTCGTGTTCAAATGTTTAGTTCTTTGTCTTGATTCAACATAATATCCAGATCGCTCCATGTCGCTGACAACTGCTAGGACCAGTCCATACCAGTGGCATAGAATCAATCCCGTTGTCATAATTTCCACTTCCTTCATGGGCCCCAATCCACCACCCAGAACATATCAGAATCTCGAATCCTCCAAATCCGTTTTGATTGGGTGGGGTGTCAAGTTTCAAATCCCTTTGGCGGGCGCGTTTCATGGACGTTCTCCGGTCACCCTGAGACTTGGGCCCCTGGCCGCGGTCATCCCTCGCCTCGACGGCCGCGCGGGCGGCCACGAGCCGGTCCACCACGGCGAGGTGGCCCTTCCGCGTGGCGAGAAAAAGCGGTGTTCTCTGACCTCGGCCATGCGAAGTCAAAGGCCTTTTTGCAGGAAAGTCAATCAACAAGAAATCGCAGACAGAAAATGCGGTTCATTAGCTTTGAATGGTGCAGCCACATCTGTCTTGTTTTGATGGCAAGACAAACAGGAAAACGATGGAAAAAGACATGGTGGCCTACTTAAGCGATGCTTCTTTCGATTTCTTTTGTCGTGTCTATTTCCCGATGTGCTCGTTTTGTAGTCATGCAAGGATCCAAAGCCCTGAAAGGTGACATCTTGCAAGAAGTGGCAGCATGTAGCTGTTCTCTTCGTTCAACTAGAAGGGGTTATTTAAGCTGAGTATGCTGTCACATTCTTCCAACGCATCTCCAATCGGAACTGTCCCTGTCCCGCGGCCCTCGGAGCTCCGGGACTCCGGCCGTTGTCTTTGGCCTCGATGTCAAGACCTGCTCTCAGCAGGTGCTCCACCTCATCGATTTCTCCGTTGAGGGCAGCGCGGTGCAGCGCCGACCGGCCTCAGGCGATCTGATTTTCCAACAGGATTTCCCTGCATGTCCATCTCTACTTCGAGGTGGTGTGTGACCAGGTCCTGAAACATCTGCAATACCTAATGCTGCCACTTCAGATCTCTCAATTGCAGGCCCAGCCAGCCGGTTCAACAAAGTCCAAACAACGAGGTCACAGTTCCCCCACCTTCTTCATCGATCTCTGCACCTTGGCAGCTGCGTCAGAAGTAAATGGACCCAACTGGTCGTGCAGTGCTTCGTGGAGAGTGCCGAGACTTCAAACGCTTGCATCAGCCTTGCCACGCCGACATCGCAAGTTCCCGGGCTTTCTGGGAAGTGGCTCGACCAAAAGAACAATCCATTCAGCCGTCGTCAGCAGTCGGCCACAGGAAAATCTAAGAGCTCCACGTGTCTGTGCTGCAACTCCACAACAGGCCTACAGGGTCTGAGTTCAATCACATTTCACCCTTTTGCACCAACGACATCCAGTAACTGCAACATTGCTGCGCTTCACACACGTCTCTCTGGGTCTTGGTTCTGACGTCATGTTGAAGCCCTTCGTAGTCAGTATAGATCCCGTATAGATACATCGCTTTGGAGACGGCCTTGACCACCTTCCTCAAGACCTCACTGGGCTCGGCAGCGGTATCGCTCAGGACCTGCTCAAGAAGACCGCACTCTCAAGGGTGGAGCGTTGAATCCCAAACAGTCAAGGGTTTCCCCAACAATGGGTGGTCTGAGGGGGTGGTGTTGGGAGTTCGAGGGGGGGCGCCCCACGGACACCCCCAGTAGCAACTCACTTGGCACCCCCCAGGGCGATCGGTGGTCTGTGCACTCGGTGCAAAGTGTCCACATTCAAAGCCGGTTGCTGTTTATTACAGCTTTGGGAGATTCTCAGATACTACGACCTATCAATCATATTGGCACGGCCTGAAACATTGAAGGGGTCATTGAATATCGAATTTGCAAAGACTAGGAAATGTTTCTGCTCTTTTCTGGACAAAGTTTTTGTTGGTTCTTGGACTCAAGGCGATTATATAGTAGAAACTAAACCCAATGCCCTTTGAGCTTGACGGTTGCAGGGAGCAATCCTCTTTGAGACTTTGAACATCCAGGACCCCAAGTTTAGAAAAACGGTTTCACTCGCATGTGGGCAACAATCTGAGATGCCCCTGTTCAAAGCTCCCGTCCGAGTCTGCAACCAGGATAGGAAGCACGAGAGAACAGCAAAGACCGCAACCCATTGAATCGTGAAGGAACAATGTCACTGATTTCAGGGCAGCTGCTTCAAGCCTTGCAATTCGTCGTGCCACAACAACGACCACTACTCTCCTCGTGGGCACTTGACCATGCCTGCATCATGGTGTCCAGGCTCCTTGGGCAGTCGACCCTTTTTTCCGAAGCAGCAACAATGCGAGCACAAGTCTCCTGTAAACATGCATATACTAGAGACAGAATCCTTGACTGTGCCGACAACCTCATGCTTCGAATCTAGTCAAGCACCCGTGCTTTTCAGTTTGCGGCATCGGTTTCTGCTTGTCTGCATCAATCATTGTAGCTTCGAGTGCTAGGAGGATTGCTTGAGGTCCATCCAAGTATATAGATCCGTTGAACAGTATAGCAAACAAGACTGCATGATGAAATGATGAAGTGTCCTCCCAATCTTTCTGTATGAACCCAATGGATGCTACTTACTCATCAACACTGGCCATTGCCATTTTGGGATGTGGTATATGCGGCAACCTGAAACAAGTTTTAATGTGAGTCCCGTTCCACCCTGATGCCATTCACTGCCCAGTAGCATGCCCAACCACTCCGGATCTTTCTGGATGGCATGAATCAGGAAGGCAACTGCATGCAGAACTTGGCTCTGAGGCCTGCAAAGAGGATGGTGGAACTCGCAGTTTTACTCCAGCCTGTCGCAATCATATGTTGAGGGACAGGCTGCCCAAAGTCGTAAAAAGACTCGAGTGGGAGGGGGTGGACGAAAGGTAGGTCATTAAGTTCAACTTTCAAAGAGGTGAGAGAAAAGAGAGGAGAGAGAGAGAGAGAGAGGCAGAGATCCGTGGAATTTGAAGAGCAGCAGCAGCAGCAGCAGCAGTAGCCAAATGACGAGCCAAATGACGAGGAGGGAGGAGAAGCTCGATACGAATCCAATCACACGAAGCCACAGTGCCAGTACAATTGAAGGAAAATTCACCCGTCCCAGGGTGGAGTTGATCCACTAGGGCGGGTGGGAGGATCCTGCCCTGTAGCTAAAGCTAATTGAACTCAGGTAACTGAAGCTACCTTTTGTGATCAGTAGAGAACAACTGGCCTCTAAGCCTAAGCCAGAAAGGAATTCTGGAGAACGGAAGCAAGCTCGTCATATGGGCATCAACTGGTCTCACAACACACAGTGTTGGCACAGAAAAGTCCACCCACAAGAACAACTACAGTTACAATATCACTCTCACACAACCGTGCAACCTAATTTCTGCCATAAGCTCCTCCAGTGTGTTTGCGGTAATGCGTTTGCAGACCTTGGCAACAAGTAAGCAACCTCCTTGTTTATGACTTAACATGTTCAAGGATGCCTGCGATCTGCAAAGGTCTTCAATCGCTCCAATAGCTCGGGCTTCTCCCAATACAATGTCGGCCAGGGGAGGCTCTGCACAAAGTGCAGATCAACGTTGCAGTGAGGGTTCAACCTCAGAATGGGTAGCTACGACTTCTGCAACCGAAACACATCAAACCTGTTTCACCTATGTAGAGTGATCTTCCTTTACACAATGATCTATCTGGGTCCTCCAATCGCCAAGCCCTCTTGCTACTCATGACACACACCTTTGGGCCCTGGCACCTGTTGTTTTAAGGTTTTTCTGCTTGAGTGCACGATGTATGCCGGTATGCAATTTGTTTTTCTAATCAGGGTATGCCAAGCGATTTCGGCAACTTGACATGGTTGTTGACGACTGATGCTCGCTGCAGCGGCTGCGCAGGTGGATGCGTTTGGGAGGAGCAAGACTAATGCCCTGTTCATGTGCAGATATGTTAAATTTCTGGAAATCTCGAAAAGCCAAACGAAACATGATAAAACTATTTGTTGCCTGGCCCTTTACAGAAATCATGATGGCTGAGCATGTCACCTTCTCATCACGCAGGGAAATGGAGACTTGGGTGTTATCGGAAGAAGGTCAAACTTTTGCAAAGGGTCCAACACAAGCTGCTTACCTTGCAGGCCACTTGTACAATCACATTGCTCCTATACTCCTATATTAGGAGACACCTCCGTCCCCTTAAGGTCAAGCAAGGGGGGAAAGCAACAAGAAAACACTAAAAATGTTCGGTCGCCCATGCGAGGCACCAGTCATGGTCTTCCACATCTCTGTAGTTGTTGACTACACGCACCTGCCATTGTGCAGCCTCTTCGCCATTTCTCTGGATGAGCTGCCTTGCAAGGTCCTTGAAGAAGGAGCCTCTCAGCAGCACCAAGCTTGGAACATGGATTTCTGCACGTAGACCTTCCACCAGGTTCACCACGTTCTGAAATCCTGGCGCTGCAAAATCTGGCACCTGCCATGGAGCTTCAGCGCATGCCCACCCCAAAGAGGAGGACCTCCTTTGGTCGACGAACTCTTCAAGGACCAACTTCAATCCATCCTCATTCAACTTCACCGGAGAAACCACAATCGCCCAGAAGCTGCCTTCACTCACATACAAACGCATCTGCTTGCGAATCACCTTCAATTCACTCCTGCGGAGACCTCATCCAGGTTCTGATACCAGCACAGGAATAAACACACTAAGCCACGGTCCCAAAGAGAAAGGGCAAACCATGGAGAACACTTGTATCACTTATAAGTCTCAACTTTTGAGTCTTGGTAAAACTGACGCGTCCAAGCCGACAAGGACCTGCACTGGAATCCAAGGCTCTTCTATGAAAAGATAAAACTCTGTCCAACACTGCACCAGTGGCACCCACTGAAAAATATGTTCAAAAAATGTTTTTTTGGAGCTGTGAGCTTCCGTGCATCTATCAAGGCGATCACCCTCAAGGGGATGCACCAAGGAGCCATAGCTAAGTGCTAAGTACCTTGTATCTTCCCTCATACACCCCATCCCCTCTTGATATCATTGTATGTCTTTGCATACCGTCTGCACGTGGTCTTCAATGTTGGATCGAAGACTATGGGTATTCCACCAAGGGACACAATTCCTCACACCGATCCTTTAGCTTTTTCTGGAGATCAGCACCAGCCTCCTCAATGTCGCCCAACGCTCCTTAGTACTCACACGAGCATGCCGCGTGTCCTTGCCATAAAGTAGTCTAACCAAAGGGATTCAATTGTGGTCTCTGATCAATTTCGGCATAGGCTTAGCAACAGTGGCACAGGCTTTACGAGAAGGCATCTAGCTTATAATGAGATGCAAGCAAAGTTTCAATCTAATTTAACAACCTATTGCCAGAAAGACTCGCTCACAAACAAAATAGTAGGTGTTCAGGCCGTTCACGCAGTGTTGGGCATCTTTTTCCTTACATACCGGCACTTTGGCTTCATACTTCTTGACTGTAAAGTAGGATCCCAATTCTTGCCTTGCATTGCATGACCAAGTAAAGAAAGAAAGTATATAATAAAAACTTCTTGCTTGGAAGGACAAAAGTAGTTTACCCAAACAAGTCAATCAAAAGCTGGGCTATGAATCAATCACGAAGGTGCAGCATCCTCAAGAAGGTGTCGGAAGGAAATGGTTCATCCTCGTCAAGGGCAGGTGCTATCAATCTCTCACGTCACGTGCCCGTGCTTTCAGTGTACGACCGAACTGGTGTCAGCCATTTGCAGCAGTGGTGTCGATAAGGACTAAGTTTTTTAACATGCAACCCAGCTCTTGTGCTGGGCTTGCAGTGGCTGGTATTCGATTCAACCACTTGCATTGGCCACTTACTCATTCAGAAAGGGGAAAAAACTATAAACCCTGATAGACAGAAGGGCAGCATGGTAGCCTACAAATAGCATTTCGTCTGGCACACATGTTCTGGACATTGAAAACGAGCTGGCTCAGCAACATGTGTGGGTTGGCTGGAATTGCTTCTGGTTTGCAAAAGCTATGCGTTTGTAGGTGCCTGCTCCACCCAAAAGACATGCACAAGATGTTCGAGAAACTTATGCTACTTGCAAATTCCCTCAGGTACTCTAGGAGGAGGACTTTCTCAGCAAAGACTTGATCGATCTATCTTGGAGCCGGTCATGCCGTACTCAAATCGCGAACAGGACATGAAAGATTTCCCAGTGCTCCGGCCTTTCTCTTCAGGTCACGCAACTCTTCGTGCAACTCTTCAATTGCATTATATTGGTCTGCATAGCTCTTTACAATGTTCTTGTTGAAGAGGATCGTCACACCCCTCAAGTCTTTCTGCCAACATGTCCGGAGATCTTCTGCCATGTCGGTCAAAGTCATTCTTTTACTCCAGCGAAGAGGGTTCATCTTGGCTGCCTTCTGCCCGAACACCGCGCACTTGGAGTCAGTCCAGCACCATCGGCCACTCCGAAACGCGTTTGGATCCTGGTGGCAGGGGACGCTGTCGACTGACAGTGATAGCCAGGCGCCCTAAAGAATAGCGCAAGTTGATGCAAGTTGGAGGTTGTTGCCGGTTGCTTCCAAGGG